CAGTAGGGTGCATGGGAGTAAGATAAAGGATAAAGGCATGGGGGGAGTCAAAAGTGGTATCATTCTAACAGAGGTATCTGGATAATTGAAAATAGCCTTAGAAGCATCCTAAGAAAGTGGCTTTCTTTTATTCTTTTAAGCAGAGAAAGAATAAAGAAATTAAAAGGTAGAAAAGGAGAGCGCATTTGTCGTCATTTAACCACATCTTTCCCTGTTACCATATCACTTCCCCAGCAAAGTGGAAGAGAGGAAGGCTGAGAGCTCCATTAAAGTCAAAGACCAGCAGCCTCGATATCACCTGACAGTGTGTTACAAATGCAGGCCCTGCCCGAATCCACATCTACTGAGTCAGAGCCTTCATTTCACCACGAGTCAGGTAGCACATTAAGTTTGAGAATGCACTTGTATGCGAGATTTAGTGACACTGGTCTAATAAAAATAATCATAAATTACTGGCAAACAACCCCCCAAGAAGGCAGTTAAAATTGTCCTGTGACCTTGGAATGGTGTGAACTAGCTGAGCTAGAGAGAAATCTCGAGAGTTCCTAGGCAACAACATAGTTTTGATGGGAGTGCATGGGCAGCTGAGGACCCGGTAGAGCGAGCTGGACCGATGACAAACATGGTCATGTGCCATCACTCCACCACTCCATCCCCCAGCTTTGCAGGCATGCTCAGAACTTAGAAGCAACACTGGGGAGAGAATAAGAGGAGCCTGACGTTGACTAAGGAAACCGGAATTACCTCTGATTCAGATCCATTTTCTGCTACTTGGGTAGGAGGTGGGGACGCCAAACACACACACACACACACACACACACACACACAAACATTTTTTTTTCCATTAAATTTAGGAGAATAAAAATTGCACGTCTTACCAAAAAAAATTTGAATTCAGACCAAATCCTGAATGTAATACAGTACAACGGGATAGTGTGTAGGTGAAATAGGGAAGCTTTTAAACAACAGCTTCATTTGTTTAAACCTGAATCCACATCTCCACATACTGTACAGGCTCTTGCAGAGCTTGGTCTGAACTTGCCTAAAGCTTACATATCTTTTAGACACACAGAGGTCTCCCTCTGCTCCAGGTCTCCCTGGTCCAGGACCGGGCAAAATCACTCATTTCATGGGAACCTAAGTGCCTTTCCACAGGGTAGATTTGTAAGGTGTGCAGCTCTAACACCAAATATTTTAAGAAATACACATGAAAGATCTTATTTTAATTCACTACCAACATGTGGCTTACCAGTCCCACCACACAAAGAGATTCTGTTATAATCTGAAATTTCATTCCAGGGAAACTGTTGACATCAGATAATCTAACTGATCCCACACCCAAATTGATAAATTTTTCTTAAAACATCACACTCCCTGCGATCTGAAAAATGTATCTTTTCCCAAGAAACTGGATATTCCCCCGGGGAAAGAACTGTGTGTAGACCAGGGATCAGTAACTTTTAACAGCTTCCTGTGATTCTCATTCAGCCAGAATTGAGAATCGCTGCAGACAGGACAGTCAGTGCTCAAAGATGCTGATGGTTCTGAGACCTGATTGTCTATCAGAGTTATTGGTGTGGGG